TAACTGTAATTAAGCTTGATCTGTGTCGGATCATTAAATAGTCATTGAATTGAAATGTTTACAGTGTGAGATCCTTGGACAAATTTACAATGTTTTTTTTTTTTTTGTACAGTTTTGTGCAGCAGTTTTTTTTACCACGTCCGATCTGTGGGCTGCGATTTAGCTGTTGTGCCATGAGCTGAGTGTCCAAAGAACTTTTTACATTTCTTTTCATTTAACAAAACAAAGAAGATGTTGCAAAGCTCTTCCCTCCAAACACGCAGCATGCCTCCCCCACTTCTGTACATCCTTGACCTGTATTACTGAATATGCTCAGTACATATTCTCCTCATGTAAATATTCTCGTCGACTAGGTGTAGTCCAACAGAAGGTTCTGGGCATTTTCCCCTCTGGGCCTCCTGCGAACCTGAGGACATACAGCACACTACATCCTACCACGGGCAACATCAACCTCAGAGCCACCACATCTGGCTCAGCTACTCAGCAACAGGTGTGTTTTTAACCATTTCCTTTTCAGTTTTGACGAATGAAGCATGATGATGACTTACGATTTAACTGCTGATTTCTTTAGGCCAGTACAGCTGCAGGTCAAACCCAGCCTTGCGCTTCGATGAGCCAGTCAACTACCCTGTCTACCTCTGTGGGCACCACGATGGTCAGAAGTCCAACGATGACTCAACAAGGTGCTCTGTCCGACTGATCTTTTCTATTTCCAAGTGAATGTCTTTGTGGCTCACGCCTTGCAAGTAAAAATTACTTTTAAAACGTCCCCTTTCCATCTCCTCCAGGCCAACCTCAGCAGATGGTGCCGGGTTCTACACCCGTGCAGGCGGCGGCAGCGGCTCAGAGAGCAGCGGCTCCTGCACCATCACCTCACGCACCCGCCACAGCTCCTGGACAGTCGCCGGTAGCTCCCCCCCAGACCAACAGACCACAGCAGGGTCAAGTCAAACTAACTATGGCACAGCTCATGCAGCTGACACAGAGCGCTCAGGTTAGAAAATATATTTGTTACCTTCATTTTTAATCTTTTCTATTAATTGTGATTTGCTAATTACTGCTCAAAACCAAGAATTGATTATTATGTTACGACTGAAGGTAAAATGCCCTTTGTGTGCAACTCCGCAGGGTGGAAACCCAGGTCTGACGGTGGTGATCCAGGGTCAGGGCCAGAGCCAGGGCCAGCTGCAAATCATCCCACAGGGTGTAACAGTCATCCCTGGCCCTGGTCAGCAGCTAATGCAGGCAGCCATGCCGAATGGTCAGGTCCAGCGCTTCCTCTTCACTCCCATGCCCCCATCCTCACCAGCTTCAGCAGCCACTCCTGCCACCCCTGCTGTACCTCAGACCCCTCCAACCCAAATGTCAGCTCCAGCCCAAGCCAGAACCATTGCACATGTCCAGACGACGCCCTCAGCCTTAGCCCAAACACAAATGGCCGCCCCTCTACCTGCCCCAACACAAATGCCAAGTTTGGCCCCCAGCCCAGCTTCAATCCCTGTGCAAACCCAAATCGCAGCCCCTGTGCCTGCTCCAGCACAAGCTGCAGCCCAGACCTTGATGCAAACACAAGTTTCAGCTGCTTTCCCACAATCCATCCCTGCTCAATCACAAATATCTGCGGCCCAGGCCTCCACCCAGGTTTTCTCCTCCGCACCAGCCACTCTCCCCGCGCACCCCGGAGTCCCAGCTATGACTCAGAAAGTCTTCACCTCAGCCACGGCGCCTCAAGTCTCAACCATGGTCCAAAGCCAAGTCTCCACCCTTCCCCCAGGCTCGTTCCCGACACAAACCCAGACCTCCGTGACACTGCCTGTCCCTGGACAAGTTGCACCTCAGGCCCAGGTCCAGGCACATGCCCTCCACTCTTCCCCGGGCTTAACCCCAACCCCTGTCCACATGCACATTACTGCTCCTTCCCCTGCCCTCGCCCCCGTCTCAGTCAAGGCTGCCCAAGTTGCTGCCGTTACCAACTCAGCCCAAATGCAAGTTTCTGCCTCTCTTCCCTCTGCAGTCCCAGTCCCAACCCCCGCTCTTGCTCCCGTCTCCGCTCCTGTTTTAGCTGTTGTGTCCACTCAGATTGCTGTCCCGTCCCCGGCCAAAGCTCTAACCCAGATTCAAGCCACAGCTCCAGTTCCCCTCCACGCTGCTGTGGCCGGTGCTGTTGTCACACCGGTCACAGCCACCTCCACCACACCTTCAGTGCCAGGTAAAGGAACCACAATTACTCATTTATTTCTGTCTTACACATGTTTATAAAAATCTATTTTGCAAAAGTGGCATCATTTAATACCTGTCATCTCTTCCCCCTCTTGTAGCTCTGATAGAACAGAGGGCAGCTCAGCCCCAGGTTTGGACTCCAGCCACATCTCAAGGTCAGACTCCTGTTCAGCCGGCTCAGCAGGCGGCAGTTCCTATTCAGGCACCTGTCCTGGCCACTGTACCGGCCTCCGCCCCTGGATCAGTGTCCACACATTCACCCTTTACCCCCCTGCCACAAGCATCTCTTACTCCCCAGTCTCAAGCACAAGTCCAGCACCCTACAGTTGTGTCCATGCAGCAGGTGACTCAAATGCCAGTCTCAGCTGTGCAGGTTCAAATGAAGGGAATACCAGTCTCCTCTGTTGTAACTACACTGAGACCCCCCCAACCTCAGCTCCAGCCCCAAACCACTAGCCAACTACAACCCCAGCCTCAAGCCCAAATCCGTGCACAGATTCAGGTCCAGCCCTTTGGCCAAGTGCAGCAAATGCCACACATTCAGGCTCAAGCCCATCTCCAGTCCAAAGCACAAGCCCAAATCCACCCGCAAGTCCGAGTTCAGTTTCAACCATGTGCACCCCAAGCCCAAGTACAGCCCCTTGCTCAAATCCAACCTCAGGTGCAGTTTCAGACCCAAAACCAGAGCTTTCCCCAGGCCCAGCTCCAGTCAAGTGTCCAGTCCCAGTACCACCCCCAGGTACAAGCTTCATTTCAAACGCAGGCCCAGCCCCAGACTCAACAACAGCCCCAGGTCCAACCTCAGCCCCAGGTACAGTCGCAGCCTCAGGTTCAGTCTCAGGCCCAAAACCAACTCCATCACCAGGTTCAGGTCCAATTCCAGCAACAGAGTCAGATCCAGCCTCAGGCTCCGCAGCAGCAACAGGTCCAAACGCAAGTCCAAACCCAGCCCCAGTTTCAAATCCAGTCACCGCAGCAGATCCAAGTCCAAGCCCAGCCCCAAGTTCAAGCTAAGCTCCAAGTCCAGTTCCAGCCTCAAACCCAGAATCAAGTTCAAACGCAGCCCCAGCTTCAGGTCCAATCTCCAATCAGGCATCAGCTCATCACTGTTCCCGGCCTGCAGCAGCCAGTCCAGCTTCTCTCAGCTCTGCCGGCCCATGTTGCAGCTCAGATCCAAGCTCAGATCCAGGCACAGGCGCAGCAGCAGGGAGGCACGGTTCCACAGCAGATCAAACTGCAGCTGCCTATCCAGATCCAGCAGACAGGGGGGCAGATTCAGGCCCACCAGATCCAGAACATGGTGACCATACAGGCACCAGCGAGTGTCCAGGAGCATCTACAGAGGCTGCAGCAGCAGCAACAACAACAGCAGCAACAACAACAACAACAACA